AGACGGGGTTTCACCATGTTGACCAGGATGGTCTCGATCTCTTGACCTCGTGATCCACCCGCCTCGGCCTCCCAAAGTGCTGGGATTACAGGCTTGATCCACCGCGCCCGGCCGATGGCATTAATCTTATTTCAGAAAGGAAAGGAGATAAAAGGTGAAACTACTTCTCAGCATTCCCAAACCAGTTTGCTTTCAGATTTTGCATATTCAGGCAACTGTTGGCTGTTTTACTGGTTTGAATAACCCAGCCAGGTATAAGAAGTTCTAACTTCTATGTTAGAATCCACATCTGCTTATGCTAGAATGAAAACCCATCTGAGAATCAATGAAGCACATGGAGAGGGTCTAATTAAATCCCTATGCCATTTCCTTTAAAATTGTCAAATTGAAATTGCAATTGTGTATTCATTCACCCCCAATGGTGTAGTGGTAATTTTAGAAGTGGGAATATTTAAGCAATAAGACACAACAGGGTGTGTTTTGCTAGGATATCAACAAGACTGGATAGTTCTCAGGTAAGCAGCCAATAGTCTGAAAACAAAACCTTTCCTAAATAATAGATAAATCACAAGACCCTTCTACAAGTGTAAAACCATGCTGATGAAAAGATGGAGTTCTGTATTGGGAATGAATATTTGCAATAGATGTAGTTCTTAAATTATACCATAAAATTACCCTGAATACTCCATGAAAATAATACAAACCATTAGTACATTAAATCAAAGTGATGATATGTTCAACAAATCAAAAGTCAAACTTCCAAGATTTGGCTTTCAAAGTCACCACAAAATTCAAAAAAACTTGTTATATCTGCAATCCTTTGTCATTTGCTTAATTTTGCTCTTGCCTTAAATGTTTCCCAACTAAATAGAACTGAAAAAGTGTGAGAGGAATATATGCACTGGTATTAGTCTGTTCTCACACTGCTAATAAAGACATATTCAAGACCGGGTAATTTATAAAGGAAAGAGGTTTAATGTATTCACAGTTCCACATGGCTGGGAGGCCTCATACTCATGGTGGAAGGCAAAGGAGAAGGGAAGCAAAGGCACATCTTACATGGCAGCAAGTAGAGGACATGTGCTGGGGAACTTCTCTTTATAACCAACAGATCTCATGAGACTTACTCACTGTCACTAGAACAGCACGGGAAAAACTCTTCCCCAGGATTCAATTACCTCCCTAGGGGGTCCCTCCCAAGACACATGGGGATTATTACAATTCAAGGTGAGATTTGGGTGGGTACACAGGGCCAAATCATATCAGCACTTCAATTTGATACTGGGGGATCAGTATTGTTTGATTACATTTGAGGATGTACCTGTTTGGAACACAAATTGAAATATCTGCATGCTCTTTATATATGCTAAAAAGATATATAGCTAAGGCACAATTACCCAGGATGCTTTTCCTGTATGTTTAAATAATAAATAGTGAAGAAAGGCAACCAAATAATATAGCTAATTCATTGGCTTCATGTGGACACATTCTGAGCTAGGAGATTATAAGGGTATCTCCAGTCCTCAGCAGAAATATCTTTATGTTCTTGCTTCTGGGCTATAGAGTAGTTTATTCACGCTAAAGGCAATGTCAAAAAAAATTTTGCAGGTTAAATTGTTAAGGTTTTCCTTGATATACTTGCTGATTGAACGATTCAGCAAAGCCATGTAAAGAAGGCTAGCACGATAGTATTCTAACCACTTACATATTTTTTAAAAAACCCCTTCTTTTTACTCACTTCCTCCCATTATATACACTCTTATCCTTCCCTACACCCAATTTCAAACATAAACACAAAACCAAAACTCTTTATGCCAGTCCCCTCTCTACACAAAAGCCTCTTAAAAAGCTCTCCTCAGTCAAACTAGGCCATACTCCAAGGTCACCATGTGCAAACACAGCAAACTCACAGAAAATTAGGGGAGGTTCCATTGTCCTGTGTGTCCAGGGTGTTTTGTGAGGAAGAATTAAGATAAGTAATGTTGACCGTAAAAACAAAATAAAACAAAACAATATTATTTCTGTATAAAGAACTATGGAAATCTGAGTAGAACTTAGCATTCACACAATGGAGAAAAATAACTTGATAATGGGAGGGTGCCGTTGCTACCCTCCTCTCCCCTTTGCTGACAACCATTCAACTTTGGTGCCTGGGGATGGGAAGCAGGGAGGGAGTAGACACTTGGGAGAATGGAAGAAGTTTACTGTTTTAATCAAATAAATTTACCTTCTCTGATCCCTGTTTCATAGAATGTGAAAAACATGCCATCAGTATAGAGAACTATAATGCCAAGTCACACATTATATTCTCTACTTTACATTAGCAACATATCCGTATGCATAGCACAGTAACAGAGTTTAAACATAAGTCGAAGAAATATGAAACTCAAAAATGATTGCTAACCATTGGAAACCTTTGGAATAACAGGAGAATCCATAAATTGCATCTCTCCACGAGAAGTAAAATCTCCAGCAATAGGAACTGTCTCATAGAGAACATATACAAAGTTATGACAAAATTCCAACATTAAACTCTTGTAAGAAGGAGCAGGAAACGTAAATGTCATAGGACTTTTTAAGTGAAGGTCAACATTTGAATTATAGGGTATTGCTCTTTGGGCTCTTATTTAACTGAGCCTATTTGTCCACTTAAAAAGAGCACATTGCTTTAAAAGAGCATATACTACTACTCTCAAGGTTACTGATACATTTCTAAAATACCTGCAGAAAAAAAAAATTACAAAACTACTTCTTTTCTTTTTTTGGAGACAGGGTTTCACTGCTGTTCCTCTTGTCTAGGCTGGAGTGCAGTGGCAGGATCTCAGCTCACTGCAACCTCCAACTCCTGGGTTCAAGCGATTCTCTTTCCTCATCCTCCCAAGTAGCTGAGACCACAGGCACCTGCCACCATTCCCAGCTAATTTTTGCATTTTTTGTAGAGATAATGTTTCACCACATTGCCCAGGCTGATCTCGAACTCCTGGGTTCAAGCAATTCTCCCACCTCACCCTTTCAAAATGCTAAGATTACAGGCATCAACCACTGTACCCAAAACTATTTATTTTCAGTGTTGATTGGATAGCATATTTGCAAGCTCAAGCTAATCAAGCAATGTTCAATACACTTCATCGGAGACTTCAAATACATAACCTAAATTACAAGTATTATCTTACAGATTCGTTTTCATTAAAAAGTGATCAAATTTTTATTGAAAGAAAAGTTTTGTTCCTCAAACTAATATTTGCCATATTCATTTTTTGTAAAAGACCTGCATAAATAGGTGTCACAAGGTATCTTTGACTTAAAACATTATAAGATATAATTTTTCATTTTTTGCTGGGTTTTTACTCTTACATGTAACATAAAACATCATAAATACAGTGAAAATGATGTGTCTATTTAAAATAAATGTGCTGATTACTAACAACTTATATTTAAAAGAAATAATTTTATGGCATTCAGATCATTCATTCTTTCATATATATCCAAAACAAAAATGGACCATTTATAAGTACTAAATATTATATAGCGC